CGTGCGCGAAGCGCAAAACATGAAAATGTATTCGTGAGATTGCTCAACGAAAAGGCCATGGATAGGCGGTGTGGCCTGTGCCTCTCGCGGTGGTTCTCGCAAGTCTCTCCTGGCAGAAGTGAATGTGGCGTTGCACACCAGAAGGCTGCAGCTCTGAGGGAAAGCGGGAGGGGCGCCGTTCGGGGGAGGGCCCGGCGGCGCGGGTGCGGTGTGGGTGCGGCGGGCGCACCCTGCGGGAGCGGCCGCCTCCGGGGGGAGGGAGCGACCACCCGCCTTTGCGCGAGGGCTTTGTGTCGTGGACGGAACACATTGTGTTTTGTTTCTTGTGGTACCTAGTTTCTATCTGATGTTTGATCTGATTTTAAGAGAAAAATGCTTGTATTGAGAAATACATTTTTAAAGACTCCAGAGTAATTTTTCATGTATTTACTGATGATTATGGCAAATTTCTCCCATCTGAAACATTTAATTCTTGTTTCAAAATTTTTTTGGTGCGTTAGTTTCATTTCTTTTGTGCTTTTGTATATTGTTTCGATATAGATGTGGTAGCACAAGCACTGGATATACCAGATTGCATTCTAGTGGTAGTTGCACTTTAAAGCTGCACATAAAATGGATGTTATTTTTCATCCTTTTGTAGGATGCAAAACAATGAGGGGCTTATCACTTACAGTAATAAATCAATATTAAATTTTGTTAATAATTTAGTGACTGCTGCCATTTAACTATAATTGCTACAATATATCTTGCATTTAATGATCAGCACAATTATTTCAGCTCCACTTACTGTCTGGAAGCAAATTACAACTTGGCATTCTCTTTGAGATTTTCTAGGAAATGGAATGTTGGAACACAATGAAGAAAAGAATACAGTGGTTTAAAATTGTTTTCAAAATTTACTTAAATGTCATTATTAGTTTCTTGGACTCCAATGCAATAAACAATGAAAATTGGAAATTACTAGTGCAACAATAATTCAATCTTAGATATTTAAGTTATCAAATAAATTAATAGGATAATTTTGTGTAAAAGAATTTGGAAAATATACGTGAAAAGGAAAAATAGACTACTGTACAAAACTAAAAACGTAATTCCATTCCAAATTCTTATCGTTTTAGAAATTAATCTATTGCACTTTGTGTAAAACAACCAAGCTTCTGACATTCTAAAAATGATGGTACATATGGAAAGATTATTCATTTTTCAAATTTGTACAATGCATTAAACTTTTTAATTTTTCTAAAGAATTGCTGTTTTTACATTGCTTTTCCATTAAAATGTTTTGTGAAGTATTATTATGCCATTATTACACTTATTTCAAAGATAGTATTGAAACCATGACTTAATATGTAACGTTAATTAGTATTTGCTAAGCAGTGAAATAAAGAGCTGCCATTTTGCTTGCTTGAATTGTCATTAACAGTAAAGTTTGTCGGATGATGGTAATTAAATGATATATTATTAATTTGGAAATCAATATTGTCATGTTCAACTAGTTATTTTATTGCAATTCCATAAGTAATGTCTTTGCAATGTTTGGAAGCACAATGCAGTTAAACATAACTGGAATATCAATACTATCCTTTTTTTGATATCTTGAAGCAGTTTTCATTCCCTTCAATAGTTCGTAATAGCAAGTATATTTTTAATTACTTCAGTATTGATTGACGGAAGAGATTTCTCTCCAGTGGCACTTCTAGATCAAGTATTTTTATAATAGATATGATGTTGATTTATTGTTCAGATTTCATTGAAGTAACTACATGATTGTTGTGAATTTGTGATGATTTGCTCTTATTTCCAAAATCAATATTTAATCAAATTGTATTACTTGGGGAATTTGTATATCTCTTCTAGAAAATTTAACATTGTTTTTCCTATTTAGTTTTAATAAATCTGTGTCATTAAATTTTATTATTGAGTTGTTTGTTATCATGAGTCACTTCCGTGGCAGGGCATCCTACATTTTCTACATAATCCTAAAATTAATTGTAAATTACGCTAAAAGGAATGTTCAAAAAATACTGTGCATCTAATTGGTGGAAATATCTTACATTTCTCCCGCCATGGTACAGTCCCCACCATCGATCGATTTAATTGGAGTGACGCCCGTTCGGCGTTCGGCGGGTTTATTGTGGGGAGACGTACGGAGACCACGAATAATTCGCGAAAGAAGCAATTATTTTGAAACTCTGGACGACATTGATTTCATCAAAAGATTTCGCCTCTCGAAACGGATGGCACTTCTTGTCCTTTCGTTGATTGGGGAAAAGTTGGAATTGCCATATGAGAAGTAAGCATGAAATACCATTGTTTCTCTGAAAATTATAGTACAATACGATTGCACGTCTATGTAGTTTTCACAAGCCACAGGATTGAGGTTATGTGAATGTAACAAGTTCATGCATTTTATTTAACAATTAATGATTAACTTTTTTTTCTTTTCAGGAATGACAGTATTGCTCAGATGGTTCAGCCACTCTGTGCTTTAAGGTTTTATGCAACGTATTTTGACTTGTTAACAGCTAGTGACTACTGTGGTTTCAGTAAATCCACTGCTTTCAGAGTTGTTAAGAGTGACATGCGCAATAGCAGAACTTTTTCCGTTGTTTGTCCAATTTCCTGAGAGCGATTGGGAACTTTCAAAAAATAAATTGTATTTTTATGCAATCGCATCATTTCCTAATGTTGTAGGGGCAATTGACTGCACCCATGTGCGGATTAACTCACTTGGTGCTGATGATGCTGGAACATTTCGAAACGGGAAAAAATATTTTCCAAAAATGTGCAAGCAATATGCTAATATGGAATTTATAGATTGCGAGGTGGTCTGGAAGCTGCCATGATAGTACGATATTTGGCCATTTGTACAGAAACACAAATTTCCTCAGTGGTGTGTACGGGACAGCGTGCTTCTTGGGGATGCAGGATATGCATGCTCAAGATATTTGTTGACACCTCTCGATGAACCTCTAACCGAAGCAGAACATTTATACAACGAGTCCCACATAAGAACGAGGAATGTTGTGGAAAGGACTTTCGGTATCTGGAAAAGGAGGTTTTCTGTACTAGCAATAGGCCTCAGATTGCCATTGCAGAATAGTTTGCCAGAAATTGTAGCTACTGCAGTCCTGCACAATATATTACGAAAAGCAGGAGAAGACTTACCACCTGATGATTCTGACCTTAATCTGCCACGGGACACGTTACTGACTGAGGGAAAAATGCAGGAAACTCTCCCTGCTAGGCGAAGATATATAACGAACAGTTTACATATAGAAACAGCCTTATTTGCAATTATTTTGCAAATCTTTCAACAAGACAATGAAAAAAGTACTAAAATTTTAAATTTCTTCAATCATTGAAGGTATTACATATGGAATGTCAGGAACAGTTGTGGAAATAAACAAATTTTTAATGTATTCAAAATATTTATTTATCTGTATTTTTTAATGACATCCTCATAGCATGCATCTCCCCCTGCCTCCTATTTTCTTCTCTCATTGCAAACAGCTTGTAGTTGTGCAATTCCTGGTTTCCCAGATTTTCGTTTTGATAAAACTGCTCTATTGCTAGCAGTGCTTTCGTCCCAACATCGTCAGTGTCTTGCATCCGGGGACGCCTCGTGGAGCATCAACGGCCAGCAGGTGTGTTGACAGCTGTGGCTTCATTAGTACTCGTAGTACCGCCCACAGGCTGCAAAAGGGAACACATCACAGTCCTCAACAGAGCTGGCGAACCTCTGCTCCAGTCTCCGTTCAGTAGTGATGGTGGTGGTGGAATTTCTGCAGTGGTCTATAAATTAGAAAAAAAGCAAGTCATATTTATTTGCCAGATACTGAATTAGACTCGTGAAACTCATTTAGAAAGTTTCTAAAATTTTCTGTAAAGAACATAAAATCTAGAGTACTAAATTACGTATCAGACAAACTGAAGTTTAAAAATGAAAACTAAAGCACACTCAAACCTCATCTTGCACACAAATTACATTTGCAAAACTTATCAAATATAAACTGTTACTTGCACTATTCTATTATGAAAATTTTGCAATATACTGCAACAGATTTAACCACTTTTGAGACAAGAATGGTTGACGTGCTTGTCTCTGCGTAGTATTTCTGGAATAATTTGTGCAAACAGGACCTGAAGGTCCTACGAGAAAATTTCACCAGAAAAATAAGTAACAGTTGATTTTTATAATTACAAGACACTGAATTAGCCTCTCTCCTTAGACATGTAGGCCTAATTCACAATTATTGCTCAAATTATATAAGTACACAAGTTGTTATATAATTTATTAACAACCACCAGTATTACAATGAGTTGTAATTCCACCTTTGCAACATGAAATTCATTCAGTTCTGTTCTCACCTCAAATAGTTCCTCTTCATCTTCAGTTATGTGAACGGAAACCTCATTGATCCCTGAAAATAATAATAATAATAATAATAATAATAATAATAATGATAATAATAATAATAATAATAATATAATAATAAATAATAATAGATAATATAATAATAATATGCTTTATTTAAATATGGCGAGGCTCGGCCATCAGGCCGCTCTCGCTGACCATGACAGAAAAATAACAAGAATAAAACTAATGAAAGCAGTAATATAACGTGCATTGGAATAAGGGAGCATTAATGAAGTACAATGTATAATGCACATGCAACATGAAAATCTAAGCATGATGCTACTATACTTTAAATAACAGATTTTTAAACAATTAAATATGCCGGTGATCTGGGGTGTCCGGGTGACGCCGCGTCGAAGGCTGTGTTGCCGACGTTTCGACCATCCTGTCGTGGTCTTCCTTCCTCAGGGCTGGTATGACAGCCCAGATCACCCACATGACTGTGGCCGAGGAAGTATATGACTTTAATTAAACATGTACACTACTTCAAATTTTAACCAAAACATTCTCAGTTCCAAGCTCGATAATTTACGCATTTTTGGTTATGATATTTTTGTTTTTCAATTGAGAACATTACTATTTACAGTGCATTAAATGTTGTGAAATACATATTATTTAGCAAGTTCTGCCCATCTGAATCAAAGAGATCGTCCATTCCCTCTGCTGCTGGACCCATGAAATCTTTAATTTCCTCATGGATCCTGTCTACAGGTATTGATACTGATGGCCTTCCACCTGAAACGTTAACGTAAGTTTATGCATAAATTACATTTGTGGTGAGATTATTAATAAGTGATCTGTTTAACTTATTTATATTTACTTTCTTTTACAACGATTTTTTACTAGACAATTTATCTTACATTCATCATAAACTGAATACACACACACATTTGTTTCCAAAGAGAACATTACTTACCAATTACGTATCTTTGGCGTCTTATTTCGCCTTCCACATCCTTCGTCCTCCTGTTGATATTCTTCCAGAATACCTGCAAGCTTTTTAAGTTGCGTGCAGAGCAACGTGCTTCGGCATTAAATTCGTTTAGAACTCTTTCGCACATTTGGGTTTTCGTAAACTTTGAAGCACTGTCTGTGCGTGAATTGAATACATGTTTATATTTGCTCATTTATGAAACGAGTAAATCTTTTTCTCCTGCGGAAAAAGTCGCCCACCTCTTCGTATTCTCTTCCTCAGAAAAATTAATTCCAGACATGATACGGATACCGCACCACCGAATACAAGGCGATGGACAGAAACCAAGTAAACGAAATCAAAACAAATTCGTTTCTACAGCTGATCGCGAGAATACCCACAATGCATTGTAATATTGTTGCCAACCGCGCATTTTCACGACTGCTCGGGAATCATGGGATCTGGATAAATTTCACGGTCTCAAACGGTTTGTGAAACGCACAGGGATCAAGTCAGCCTTGACTCCGCGGATCAGGATCACGAAACTCGGATCAACTACGAATTTGATCCTGGTTTCACCAACCAGAATCAAGATGATGATCCCCAGTTGATCCGGATCAACTCCGTCAGTCCTCCGTCCGATCAGTTCCTCTTCTTCAAGCAGGAAATTTATTGTTTTAAACTATTTCAAAACCGCACTTCTCACAGTGATTTAAGTTATTGTGTATTTTTTTCTTCTAGTACAGGCCAACACGGACCAGCTAGTGTACCCTGCTTTAGCAGCTGCAACGACCATTATCGGAGGGAGGGGGGTCAGCATTTTAGCTGAATCCCGATTTTTATCTTCCAAGATTGTTAGCACTGGCGGTATGGATGATGATGAAAGAATGGAATGAAAGGACACATAAGAGACATACACAAATACACATATGCCCGAGGCAAAACTAGAACCGGTGGCCTTCTGGTCTGAGACCGCACTACTGAGATGGCACTACTGCATTGAAGATCTCGGCCATCTTAAGAGGCTTACTGTGTAACATTACAAATAATATAAATACTTTCATTTAGGTATTAATTTGCACTTCAGCTTGATTACTAATGCTCAGACTGAAATGGCTTGAAGATGATAGCCGAAACGTTACCAACTCCAATTTGTAATGAATTGAAACAATCACGGTTATTTAGCTGGATGTGTTAAATTAAAAAAAGGGACTGCTTTTTATGAGAATTAATTTCTCATTACTCGGCCGGGCATGTTTACGACTTTTGATGTTTATGAAAAACTTGAAACGATGCACATATTTACTACAAAATTTGTTTCAGAACATTTCAGAATAATAATGTTTATTTCCAAACATTTTATAGTATGGGATGTGCTTTTGTGACCAGAATGTCCAGCAAATCGTTTCAAATTGAGTGATACGACAAAAATATGAATCAAGAGTTACGTGTCTTGCTAATTTAAAGAGCGAAGTCGTTAATTGGACTGAAACATTTCACCCAAATAACTCTGCGAATACTTCCGACACGACACGCATTTAGAAAAAGAGGTTTTAATGTTTAAAATGTTTTGTAATTCACAAATAAACATATGTTAAATAAATACATTGTTTTTTTTCACAAATATAACTTCAAAAACTAACCAAACATTTTGTTAGTTTCTCTTATTACAAAAAAAATACATAACACAACCGCTTTAATTTCGAAATACTCTGAAGCTTTGGCAGAAATACATCGCTACGAAAAGTGAGATTTCTCAAAATATTCTGAGTGTTAGTTTCGCGCACGTTACCGAGTACTACTTCTGGAGAAGCAATTCTATCAAGAATAGAATACTTCAAGAATAGAATTCACTGAATTTTAACAAGTGTCGGTCTACGGTTCTTCGCCATTGGCAGTGTATTACATTTCACACACTACTAATCACGTGGTTGTTAAATACGTTTTACGCTTCGCTCTGCAAAAATTATATTAAATGAAAGACTTTCTGAAGAATGTGGGTTTATTCTACTTCCCGCTTTGAACATGGTTGTCAAGTATCCTGTTATAAAAACGTTCTCCCTCAAGTTTGGGCACGCGTTTGCGATGACAGTCATTGAGAAATTTGATTTACTTGTCCTAGAAACCGTTCAAGTAATATCGAGTGTTAAAATTGCGGCCGATGTTTCGTAAACGCAGAGGCAGAATATGCAACCAACGCAAGCTTAATACTTTGCGGTGTGGCGGGTTACATAGTGCTTTTCCTTCAGGGGCGATTTGCTTCCTGATTCATATAAATGCGAGTTGTTGTCAACAACGCCCCCACATGTCCGATTTGATTCAAACTTCAAATTCAAAAATTAAATGGTCCCATTACTAATAAGAACAAAGTGAACATTTCACTTTGCTGTCACTTTGTTAAGCCATATCCGTTGAAACCTTTAAAAATTAAAACTTGTGGTGTTCAGAGTGGCGCGGACTTTCTAGTACTAGTTTTCTAATTTTTTTGATCTGGGCTAAGTTTTTCGGACTTGCAACATACCCTTGGCAGCCGCCATCTATCGCCACCCAAAGAAATTTTTTTTGTTTTTCCTAATGGTAGAACCGAAATATTACAAAATAATGTAGTAAAGTGACGTTTATGTCATCTTTCAAAGCAGAGTACATTTAGCACTATCCCTATCAAAAGTTTAAAGAAAAATTTGGAACCGTTTTCGAGAAAATTGATTTTTTTGTTATTTTGTAATTTAACGTGCAAGTCCGTGAAAACATCTAAAATTTTCAAAATAATGTACATGACTAATGAAAGTAAATATGGAGAACTATTTTTATTTGTAGGAAAAATCTCAATGTTCAATTTTGTAGTTATAGGAAGACGCCGAAAAAAATTGAAACGTTAGCAATTTTCGAACATTCAGAGTTAACAGTGAATATCGGACCAATGCCACCTTTATAGGTGCATTTTACTTTACTCTTAACAGAAAGTTAAAGAAAAATTCGAAGCTTTTTTTGAGAAACTTATGAAAATGTCTGTGGGGATTGATGAAAAATACCCCCAATTTTTAAAGTATGTTTTTCAAAATTGCAGTGCATGAAATGAAGCCAAGTCTACTGGAGAATATCCATTTGGGAAAAATATCCTAAGTATGGTTTATACGCTAGTGGTGTTCATAAACGTACTAAAGTACGTTTTGTAAATTAAAGAAAGGAGTACAAAACAGTAGAAAACAATAACAATGTTGCCAACAGGAGATCCACAACAAAAATCGAAACGTTCACCCCACGGCTATTAAATTATAATTTATGGTTCAAGTAATTTTCGGAAACCGATTCGTAAAACCATAATGTACTCGTACGTGACGCGTGACTTGGTTTTAAAAGACATTACAGAAAGATATTACAGTTCCTTTGTCTGTAAATTTCAAATTGATTTCATTAACTGTGTTCAATAACAATGAACACATCGTTTTTTTCAATTTTTTATAATTTTAATGTACTACCGGTCTGTGAATAATTCTAGCGCCTAATCCACGCATAGATTTTTCCTCCATATCGATATTTTTCGATTGATCTGGCCTCCACTCAAGACCGTGCGAATTGAAAACTAATTTTTCGGTTGAGAAAGGGGTGGGGGGAAACTAAACTAGCGGTGTTACAACTTCGCATACTTTCCAGCATTGTTTGTAACATTCTCAATGTTCTAAAATTCAGAGTTTTCATCAAAAATGGACTCTGGACTGTGAGCCATTTTTATATGCATGCTTTGAACAAAGGGTTGATGAAGTAATTTAGTAATAGAATCATCCATTTTTCCACTATTTCGATGTCAGGGGCCCCAAAATGCGAATTTTATTTGACGAAAAGTCGTTGCAGGATTACAATACTTTCTTTTCACTACTCAAGTACGACGAAACACGAAGCCTTGACTCGAAAGAAAGGGGTTGTAATTAGTGCGAGGAGGAAGTTTATATCATTTTGTAGAACCACTAGTTTGATTTTAATTTCTTTTGTTTAACATATTTCAAGTTTTATCTAGGATTAAACCATTCATTCCACGAACATTTATATTGTTTCATATAATCACATTCTGCAATTACACTTCTATATATTTTGTACACACACACGTACTGTGTACATGTATATATATATATATATATATATATATATATATATATATATATATATATATAGAGAGAGAGAGAGAGAGAGAGAGAGAGAGAGGAGTAAAGGGGAGGTAGAATGGGAGAAGTTTAGGTAAAATGAGAAAAATGAGAGGAATAGTTTCGTATTTTTCCTCTTTACCGGCTCCCTCATACGAGTAATTCGCCTCAGAGCCCATCCCCCACCCTGCGCGCGCGTGGATGTGTGTGTGTGCGTGTGCCCGCGTGCGTGAGTGGGCAGCCGTAAGCCCATTACGGTAGCTTTAACGACTTTTCATTACACCAGATTACAACCTCGCGTTAATTGGATGCGGTGTAAAAGTAGCCATTAACACGTTTCAGCTGGATGCGAGCGCGGCCACGTGAAAAGCAAACGAGCTTCTTTTGAGTGCGATTTGCATCGTTAGCCGGCAGCATTCGCCGGGATTGTTCTTTCCGGAGGGGGATTTTTTTCAGACGGCCTCTAGTAGGAGCGGCTCTTTCTGACACAGCGTGCTAACTGTTCAATTGTACTTTCTCGCTACGGAGTAGACAGAGAGTAAGCGAGACAGAAAGAGTGAGAGAGTGTGAGCGAGAGAGAGTGTGTGAGCGAGAGAGTGTGAGAAAGGGAGAGTGTGTGAGCGAGAGAGAGTGTGAGCGTGTGTGGTGAGAGAGAGATAGAGTGATGCGTTGTGAGGCGAAGAGAGTATGAGCGTGTGGTGTGAGCGAGAGAGAGAGTGAGCGTGTGTGTGAGCGAGAGAGAGAGTGTGAGCGTGTGTGTGAGCAAGAGAGTGAGTGTGAGCGTGTGTGTGAGTGAGGGAGAGAGTGTGAGCGTGTGAGTGAGGGAGAGAGTGAGCGTGTGAGTGAGCGAGAGAGAGAGTGTGAGCGTGTGTGTAAGCGAGAGAGTGTGAGAGCGAGCGAGAGAGAGTGTGAGAGTGAGCGAGAGAGAGCAAGAGACAGCGAGAGAGAGACTGCGAGAGAGAACGAGAGTCAGCGAGAGCGAGAGAGAGAGAGAGTGGGAGTGAGATGTAATGTGCGAAAAAACGGGCAAAATGTCGGCAGAAAAATCTTATTACAGGGCCCTGGGAACAGAAAAGCGGAAATTTGAAATCGATATTTTAATTCTGGGGGTAATTTACATGATGACTGGGACATCTTCCAAATTTAAAAAATGGCTCCGTGGTTTTTGATTAAATTTTGACGTTGGATAGTGTGAAGAACGTTTAAGAGATTAGTGTGGGTCTCATTTTCGTTGATAGCCCTCATTTTTCGAAAATTGTAAAGTACAGAAGTTTTTCGGAGTCTTTCTACAACTTAAGT